CACCCTAAATTTTCAGGTACAATGTGCTCGATCTAAAGAAAAAATAAAAATTAAAATCTCGATACATCTACTTTGCTAAGATCTGAATCCTAGGGTATGGAGAAGTAATACAAATCTATTCTCCTAGAGAAGGCTCAATCCAAAAACTGAGCACCTGAACCCACAATATGCACAGTTCATTCAGAAGACTGTTCAGAATTTTTCTATAAATTACAACTTCAAATGAAAAATGATAGAACTGTAAAAGAAACTATACTTTTGTTCTTTGACCTGTTTCACAATCTCAGCTTTCCAAAATGTAACAAAATTCATCTTCTTGTCAATGAAAAACACCTTTAACAAAATTAAATACCCTCTTCATTTGCCTCCGACTGTAAACGGGCAGCCTCCAATTGGTCGAGCTCCAATTTGATCGTCAAAAAATCCGCACTTTCTCTCTCTTCATTCGAAAGCCATGATGACAAACAATAGTTGATCAACTCACTGTCACTGCTGAAAGACAAACTACTCTTGGAAGCTTTGGCCTTTCCGAATTTAACTATATGTTGGAAATTTGATTCGGAAGGATCTTGAATGTAACTTTCTAGGATGTCTCTTATGGCTCTACACCAAATGGGCCGAGCCACCTTAAGGAACTCATGCACCATCAAGAGGGGAAGGCTCGTGGTCCCCACATCCGACTCTTGTTGTCCCCCTTTTCCATGATAATCTGATCCTCCAAGCTTCAAAAGATCGTGTGCATCCGCTAAATCACTATACACTGAACACGATAATGAAAAATCATCAGAATTTTTAAGGCAAAATTGCATATTAATACATCACCTTTCATGTTTTTGCAATTTAATCACCACTTTTATAATTTTGCAAATTAATATACCACTTTTACCATTTTTGCAAATCGATACATGACTGACGGTTCCATTAACGAAAATCCGACATGACATTGAGCCACGTCAATGCCATGTCAGATTTTCGTTAGATTTTTTTAACGGAACTGTCATTTGTGTATCGATTTGCAAAAATGGTAAACGTGGTGTGTATTAATTTGCAAAATTGTAAATGTTGTGATTAAACATGAAAGGTGGTGCATTCATATGCAATTTTGCCGATTTTTAAAGAATTAAACGTAAAAAAAATAAAAGTGAACTACTAAATGTCATCACTCATAAATTTCACATGCGTGAGCTTTGTCATTTTTTGGCAAGATTTATAAAGATTTTGTTAAATTTGCAGACTAGGAAAAGAAAAAACGCCTGAAATACAGTAGATGTAAGAGATTACTAGGAAAATAAAAGTGAAAAAAAATTATGCATGGAATATTTATGTGCTAGAGGTTCGTAATATCAGAAAGAAAATAATTAGATTACCTGATAGCTTGCCGTCACTTCTATATACCTCTAAACCGTGTAGGCCAGCGTCCTTCAGTTTTCTGATTATAACGGCAGGATTTTTTAGAGCCCATGGATGTGCTAATATGGCAACACCTCCTGTCTCAATTATTAATTTCACAGCTTCCTCTGCCACGGGCTCACTTCCTCTGATAATAATAAAAATGAAAAATGGGGAAAAAGAAACCCACAACAATAAATTATTTTTCACATGATAAATATCTAAATATCAAGATACATCCAAAATTTAATTTGTTTAGATGGTACGATTTTGACATTTTTTTTTGTTTAATTTTAATAAATTAACAGGTGAAATCAGTTTTCATATTTTGCACGAGTACCATAAGAGTAAAAATTGAAAGCAAGATAGAAAATTTAACTCTTTGTATGTCTGTGTAGGTTGAAGGACCGAAGCATGTTTTATTTCAGTCGTCTTTATTCTCTTGTAAAAAAAAAAACAAAAAAATAAAGGAAATCGATGTTCAAACTAGAAAACCACAGAACAGATTTCCAGAATGGACAAAATATTACGTGGAGTAAGCGGGGCCACCATCATGAAGATATCTCGAGAAAGCTTGTTTTAGATTTTCGACGTGTCCAGCCTCAAGCATGGCACGGGCAATATGAAGCCTTCCAGGAGCAGCACCTTTTCCTGCAATTTTTACTACATTTTCCCATTTAACAGGCAGCTTAAGCTTGTTCAGCTTTGAAACAATGTTCTTTGCTCTCAAGAACCTTCCATCTCGAATATCCCCTAAAAACTTCTCAAGAACTGCGGGTCTCGTTGGCCCACAACTACTGTAATAAGCCAGGATATGAACGGGTTCTTGTGTACCTGAGTCCCCTCTGCAGCCATTTAACACCCCCACAAAAAAAAAAGTACGCAAATTCGAAGAAATAATTAAATAGATGATGTAGCTGTTTATTTTATATATATTAGAGAAATCAGAGGATGAGACCATTTACTAGCGTAGAAGGGAATCCAAACCAATTAGCAATTTTTGTTGGTGTGATAAATGAAAAAGAAAAGAGAACAAAAAGTTACCTTGAGTAGAAAATTGTGCTGATTTCAACCCCAGGAATTATTTTGATGCCGAATTTTCGAGCTGCTTCTATGGCTTCAGGGATGCCAGACATCGTATCATGATCCGTCAAAGCCAAGACTTTCACCTGTTCTGGACATTACCTTAAACAATCAATCTTTTTTCCAATTTTAATCAAACAAATAATTCATAAAAGGGGGTAAAAAGGGTTTCCCATTTCTAACTTCCTAAATGACGCTTCAGTCAAGAGTTTAGAATGGAAAGTCTCGTATTAGAAACTCTCAGGATTTTCTAGAAATCTTTAAAATTCTCTTGCACATGCCACTTACCCACATGAGCATATCTTGATGATTAGTGTATTAGATTAAGATAAAAGCATCTATAGTAAACCTCTCCCAACCCACCCTAAAACAATATGAACAACTAGATAAGGATACTAAATTGAACTTCCTGTTCGGGTCAATTTATACCATGCATATAAAAGCAGCTCATTGGATGATCAATTCATTAGTGGCAATATGCAAGCAACCATTTATACAATAACAAAAGCCACACAAGTAAGAGATGAAAATAACGTCCATTAAGTCAGCTGAAAAATGAGCTGTAACCGCACTTAGCATAAACTTGCTAACATAACTTCTATGAGTGCAGGTTAATCATTTAAAAAGATGATTATTTGAGAGAAAATAAATAGTTCACAGCTCTTTCTCTTCTTTTCTCCACCTAAATTCCTAAAACGGATATAAACTTGCAATGTGAAGGTGATAAAAATCCTTTTCCGTCATCCAAAAGAGGGAAAGCTTAAATAGATGACCTCTTTTGCTAGTATATAAATACCTGTCCAGTTTGTGAGGCATATTTATACTGTTCTTCACATATAATCTTGTTCGACATATGCCTCACATCTAAATCAAATGCATAGTCAACAACACTGTCTACTTCCATTTGCTCACCGGCATCAAAATTTTGGAACATCTCATATCCCTTCCAGTATACATTCTTCCTTTACTATAAAAAGCATTATGTTTTAGCATTAACAAAAATCTGATCTTGAAAAGGAATTAAGACAGCAGCAGAGCCACATCCTGATATCTTTGAATGAGTATAATTCAAGGGGCTTAAGAAAATAATGATATGAACTTGGACGAGCTTATTGCTCATGCTCCTCCCCTGTAACTTTCCTCTGAACAATACATAAGTTTTGTATTTTAAAAATCTCTGAAATGCAAGAACTCAAAGGTCAAATATGGTATTGTAGAGTCAAAAATAAATTCCACAACTTATCCATACAGTAATTATTAAAGCAATGCAACAGAAGAGTCTCACACCATCCTCAGAAGAGTGAACTTATTCAGAGCACCATATCAATATGTAAACAGAAAACCAAAGAGTAATTAAAATACAACATACGGCATTGACAGCAACAGAGATAGCAAAATCTTCAAAACTCAAATTCTCCAACCATCTAAGGTACAATTAAATAGATGGATACAGAAACACCACATGTAAAACATAAAGATACAAAATTTGAGGAAAAAAGAAAGAACAATGTCCTCTCCTATTACATTAACACCCAAAAGGTAAAAATCAAATTTTTCCTTTTTTTTTTCTTTTTGAAAAGAAGAAAAAATAGCTCACCCCTTTTTGATGTGCTCTCTCAACAAGCTTAGTAGGGGACAAAAACCCATCACTGCATGTGGTGTGACAGTGAAATTCGAACACAAGCTTTTCCTTTGGCTGGTACCATTTCACTCCAAAATCATCAAGAAACGGGTCACCAAAACTCAATGGGTTACAATTACTATTCGACTGGTCCAAGAAAATCCACTCACTCACTGCCTTGTACGCCACCGTCTGCTCAAGGGTCATTTTCCTCTTCGCACCGCCCCTCTTTTTCTTTTTCTTCTTACCATTATTACCCATTGGCTTTTTTGGGTTCTCCTTGTCGCCCATCATCTGATTCATCTATTTTTCTCTCCCTTTTTTTCCTTTTTAATCTCAAGAAAGAGAAAGAGGAATGGGTGTTATGTGCCAAGAAGGAGGGGAAAAAAGGAAATAAAAAAGGGGTCTTTTTTAGTGTTATAGGCGAAGCGATAGTGATCTAGGTTGTAGGGTATATGTATGTATTGTCTGTATATATATACTTGGAAACTGAAGGGGCCATCTTTACAGGGTTTTTCTCTCAGCTCAATATGTAAGGGGAAATTATTCCTGTTTCTCTCTTTTAATATACCAATTGAGTTAAGGAGTTTTTATCATGAAAATATGGGGCTACAATTGAGGTTTCTTGACCCGGAAAAGGGCTTTTCGACTCTAAAGATTACTACAATGTGCAAGACAATGACGGTTGAAATTATTATTTTTTTTTTTCTCAATTAGAAAGAAAGTTGTGATTTTTCATTAAAACAAATAGGGGTTCGGATGAGAAATGCTATGGAGCCAACCACCAATGTTATAGTGCTTGACACTATAACATTGGTGGTTGGCTCCATAGTATTTCTCGGGTTCGGATATGGACAGTGACGTCAAAAGTACAAATGAAGGTAAATATGAATTGAGCTTTAGTTTTTATTATTATTATTATTATTATTATTATTATTATTATTATTATTATTATTATTATTATTATTCTTTGGACAAATTTAATTTGTTTATTTTGCTCATCTCTCTGTAGTTTGTGTGAAATTGTGAATATTATTAAGAAGATTATTTAAGAAAAAAGAAAAACAATTAAAGTCTGAAGAACGTAAAATTGCTCTTAGAGAGAGGATCCTGGCGGAACAACCGACGGATAGATATTTGTGCCGGATGAGAGAGCAATCTCAAGCCGGCAAAGTGGGAGGTTTCGCAATAGCATCGGACGGGGCCTTAGTCTTCGAGCAGCGACTATGTGTTCCAAAGGTGTTAGCACCCCGTACTCCGTCCATCTCGAGAGTAAGAAGATGTATCATGACTTACAGAGGGAGAAGAATGAAGAAAAAGGTAGCAAGGTTCGCAGATCGTTGTCTAGTGTGCCAGCAGGTCAAGGCCGAACATCAGAGGCTGTCGGGTTTGCTTCGTCCACTCGATACTTCGGAGTGGAAGTGGGAGCATATTAAGATGGACTTCGTAGTAGGCCTCTTGAGGTCGAGGAAGGGAAACGATGTCATATGGGTGATTGTGGATCGTTTGACCAAGTCTGCACACTTTCTACCGGTGAGGGTGACGATAAAGATGGAGAAGTATGCCCGTATCTAGACAGACAAGATTGTCCGACTTCATGGAGTGCCCTTGTCGATTGTATCAGACCGAGACACACAGTTCACTTTTAGAGTTGGGAATAGCCTGCAGAGCACTATGGGGACGAGGTTGAAGTTTAGCACTACCTATCAGCCTCAGACGGACGGTCAGTCCTGTTAGTGTTATATACTGAAAGATTGACTTTGCATGTTATTACACATTTACCCTTTATGAATGAGAATCATGTTAGATTAAACAAGTTCTACGTTCTGTTGTTCTGCACTTAGATAGGGTGGGTCGTCATCGGGCGAACCGAAGATCACTCTATCAGTCACTTGCGAACAAGAATAGTTGTTCACAACCTAGATGGACATGAACACCCCATCCGAACGGTTGTAGTGTCAACTGTACAGTTTGTCTTGACTGATTAGTTGCACTAGTACATTTATGTATTGAACAGGATCCCAGAGAGGAGAAGTTCATTTTATACTGATCGTCGTAAATGAACTAGGCCTCGGTTAATTACTGCGTTCTCTTAACCCGTAAGATATTAAACAGGCAGATATATATAATATATATTATTTTGATTCACATGGGTGAGGTTCAGTTCGCTGGATTAATATTCCTACTATTTTGGGTAATATTATTATATATAGGATGTGCTGTTAGGATATTTACGGTCACCATGTGCGTTAGTTTGATGATGTCTCCGGAGTGAGTTCATGAAGGATTGTTATGCTAAACCCTGCAGGTGGATTAAATTCCGGCATAATAAGAATGTGATGAACGAGCGCTAGCTTCGGTGAAATAATAATAAATTAATTAATTCTTGATTGTGAGTAATCGAATTAATTAATGGACATTATATCTTAACGTGGGGAGGTAAATCGAGTAATTATTATTGGAGTCTCAAATGTAATTTGGGCTAGGGAAAGGGAGTGCAATAATATAATGTTGGTGGCCCATTAATATTATTTAATTAATTAGAGGAGTGGGTTTGGGCCACGGTTAGTCTAATTAATTAAGGAACCCTTTTCCTAATCTCCTTAGGATCCCTACTGTAGCTCTATATATATACATCATTAAGCTCATGAGAAGAAAAAAAAAGAAAAAACCCCAATCCTATTCACACGTGAATAACGCCGCCCATCTCTCTCTCTCTAGATCTCATTCGAGCTTTATCTTCTTCTTGTTGCTCCACTGGTACAAGTTGAAGAAGGGTGTATTGAGTAATACAGTAGAAGATCTGTAGGTAAACCGAGACGAAATAGATTTTGACCTACAGAACTAACCGGAAGTCCGATTGAGACGTACAGTATACCCAGACGACCGTCTCGACGAGAGCTTTCCATCGCCGCCGACGTCGCCGGAATTCGACGCCGCACGCGCCCTCACGCGCCGCCGGAAGGTGTCTGGCAGCAAAATTTCGTTTTGATCCGTTTGCATCCGTTTGATCCAGTTTTGATCTGATCTTGTTCGTGCAACCCAAGACGCGTGTTGCGGTCAATCAATTGCGGTCAACCGTTCGTGGTCAACCAGATCTACATAAATTTTAAGCTGTAAGTTCTCTACGTCAAACCTTTAGATCCGCTGCGCATAGGTTTACGTTTGCTATTGAATTCGTGATTTGTACATAACGAGATCCTCACAGATCCCAACAAGTCCGAGCTAACGATCAACACAGTTGAGGATCTGTTGAGGTCGTGTGTTCTGGATTGAGGTGATTCGTGGGAGGATGTGTTGTCACTTATGGAGATCACTTATAACAACAGTTATCAGACGACAATTCAGATGGCACCGTACGAGGCCTTGTACGGACGCAAGTGTAGGTCTCTGTTGTATTGGGACGAAGTCGGTGAGAAGAAGATTCTCGATCCCGAGATCATTAAAAAGACAATGGAGCAAGTAGATGATATCCGACCAAGGATCAAGGCAGCACAAGATCGGTAGAAGTCCTATGTCGATCGGAGGAAGAAGGATCTGCAGTTCGAGGCATGTACTCTCATTGATGAGTCTGTATGACCTTCAGTGGCTAATGATAGGTGTGCACATGAGTATTATATGATTAGGAGATGTGATATTATGATTGATTTATGTTTATGCGACGACCATACCTATCTGTCATTATAATTGAATTATGTGCATAGTAGTGAGCACGTGGTGTGCTCACTCCCATGACCCCCCCCCCCCCCCTTCCCCCTCTTTCAGTTTGAGCAAATGGCTGGCATGGCGATAAAAGACGAGTGGTGGCTGGTCTTTTAATTGTCTCATGATTCGACTGTTTACGTTTTCTGCCTTATGAAGAACTTGTTTTGGAAATTTTCAAATACAATGATGTTTGAACTTATGTTGATGATTTGAACATGATGATGTGTTTTTGAATGATGATGAGATTTTTGAACATGATGATTTTGATATTGGTTGATGAATATGTTATGATAAGGCGATTATGATATCGTATGATGAATTGGATAATGACATCCTAAGTGATAAAATGGATAATGATTTCCGTATGTTCAGATATGGCTTGAACTGTAATGATAATGATGATGTTTGATTTAAGTTGATATGTGGAAACCGTTGAGTGATATGAAATATTTTGAGAAATAATGAATTTATGAAATGATTTTAAGTAATGCCCATTTAATGTTTTCTTAATAAATATTTTTTTTTGATAAATGATAAATTATTTATTTATTTGCGAAAAATTGATCCCCATTTCTTTAAAAACTGGGGAAAACTCTTTTAAAATATCGGGGCATTACATAAGTACCCTAAGAAAGTTTTTAAAAGTTAAAGTGTTTTCGAAAAAGTTTGAAATATTTCTTAAAAAATCAGTATTTTCCTAAAGATAAGTAGAGGATGCTTACACGGCGAGGAAAGCCCGAGGAAGATGAATCGAGGCACTATGTCGACGATGATTTAGAGATAATGATTCATGTTTTAACGGGGACAAAGGGGCCGATGACAATTAAGTTGCCCGCTTCGGTTCGAAACCAACAAGTGGAGTTGCTAAGTGATACCAGGTCATCTCACAACTTTATTAATGCATCATTATCTCGAGAGTTGAAGTTGTCGGTGACTAAGGTAGAGCCTTTTAATATGAGAGTGGCGAACGGGGAGCTTTTAAGGTGCGTCGTGTATTTTCAAGAGGTGCCCATCAAACTTCAAAGCGAGACGTTATGGGCCAATCTTTACGTGCTACAATTAGTAGGACCGGATGTGGTACTTGGAGTCCAATGGTTGGAAGGACTTGGTGAGATCACTACAAACTATAAGAAGGGGATCATGGAGTTCTATCGGGGGATAGACTGGTCGTATTGAAGTCCGAACCTAACCGAAGGGTGAGAGGCGCAAAGTTGAGGTCCTTGGAGCGTATTAGCAAAAGAGATATCCACAAGCCACTTAGCCCAATCCTTGAGGACAAGAATTTATTTTAAGAATTTATTAAGGGAAATGATTAATCAATTAAGTCAAGAGTTTATACTTATGATAAATAAATTCTTAGTATGTAGATTACAAAGAGTTGAACTCTCGAGAAGAGCATTGAGCATCCATCATTCACTTTCGCATTTAAGGTGGGGATTCTGTACTATGTCCTATTCACTACAATCGCATGGTATTATGATTGAGGTATGCTATGTGAGTAATTTATGAGACAGTCCTTCCGGCGGGATGGGCAACACTCATCTTTCCGCTGGAAGAAGCAGATCTGAGATAGTCCTCCCGACGGGGTGTGCAGTACCTTTGCTCTCGCCGAGGTGTGCAATTGAGCCTTCAGTTATTCATGTTCATGCTTACGTTGTGATATCTATTATTATATTGAATAACTGCGCAGTATGCCTTCCCACTGAGCTAGTGTTTTGCTCATCTCTCTCTTTTCCCCCTTTCAGGTTGAGTGAGTTGGTGTCGAGCACAGATGGCGGGGTGGTCATTTTTATGTCAAAAAAATTATGTTTTCCGTATGATAATTGAGACTTGTTTATGAGATTTATGCATGAGACTTAGTTTTGAGACTTATTTGATAATTTGAGACTTTATGCCATGATTCATGCCTTAGTATTTATTTGAGCTTTTTGAAAATTGAGCATGTTTGAGATTGAAACTTCAGAAGTGAATTCTTTTAGTGCTCCTTGTGAGATTAACAATTTCTCTCTTTAGAGACTTGGAAGTTCCCGATAATGGGATCGGTGTTCTCTGGAATAGCTAATTAGGGTTTTCTTATCTTCTGATTGTGTTTCTCTCTTCCTCTAAATTGCTCTGAACCACCATTTCTTGATACTCATCTTCTCTTAGTACTATTCCTATCATTCATATTTCCTAATTTTCTCATATTCTTCCATTTGTTCCTAGGGTTTTTTCAAGAGGCCTGCAAAGACGGATCTCATCAGGGCGTTTGCTCTTTGGAGTCCATTCTTAACTGGTTTTTCTTGTTCACTTCCTTGTAATGATGGATTCAAATTTAATACACATATTGAAGAAATTTGATCTTTCGGAGAAAGAAGAATCGGGCATCATGCTATCTGAAGAAGACATTGAGGTTGGTGTTATGGAATGCTCACTGAGCCTGGTAGGCAAGATATATGGAGAAAAGAATGTACACTTTGATGGGCTAAAAGTAACTCTTAGAAACATCTGGAAAACTGACAAGCCTTTTTCAGCTCGTCAAATTGGACAGAACCTCTTCCAATTCATATTTAAATCAAAAGAGGATAATCAAAAAATTCTTCGAGGGCACTCCTGGAATTTCGATGGACAATATCTTCTTATGAAGGAATGGACCGCGTATAGGACAGATTGGAAAGAAGACAAAAAAGTGGAGATCTGGATTCAAATACACAATCTGCCGCTGCACTGGGTCTCACACGATACATGATTGAAGATTGGACGGTTGTTTGGCAAGGTGTTGGATGTTTATGTGCCTGACTCTGGTAGTGTTCACGGCAGAATAATTAAAACTGGTGGAGCTTCGGTTACATGAACCAATTCTCAGAGGGGCTAATATCAACCTGGAATAAGAATCTTGCTGGGTAGATTTCAGGTATGAAGGGCTGCAAACCTTTTGTTTCTATTGCAGTAGAATAGGTCACAGTGAAAGTAGTTGTGATAAAAAGAAAGATGACATTGTTAGAAATTTGCTAAATCCAGGACAATATGAGGAATGGCTTAGGGCTTCATTTGGGGGATTCCAAGGTCCTAAAGATTCCTTAGGCTCAAGCTCTTCTAAAACAAATGGTAGTAAATTACCTGTTTGTCATGAGATTGGTGTAGGAAATGAAAAACTAGACTCTCTAAAAAGCTCAAATTTAAACAAAGATAATATTGAAGAGTCAAACCCCTCTGCCTCTAACACAGAGACTAATGTGAGGGTTAATCAAGAGGTTGTTACTTCGGAGAGAAATGAGGTACCTTCTTTAACCCAAACCTTAGGAAGTGCCAGTCCTATCTATGCAAACATTCAAAATCCCTCATATGGGGAACTCATCAGGACAGCAGAGCCTGAGCAAACCCTCCAAAAACTCAACCAGACCAGTTAGAGTTATTTGAAAAACATCTGGGGATAAGATGGTAGTGGATAAAACTTCAAAAATTGAAGACACTCCTCTGAATGTTAATAAAAAAAAGAGTCCTTTTAATTGGAGATGAGTCTGAGGATATTTCTAAGTCTGATCCTAAAAAAGCCAAAACCTCAACTTCCCAGGAAACTCAAAGCCCCTCTCAGTCCAATGTGGTGGTGGTGACCATCCAAAAATGGTCACATAGTGACCAATGAAGGTTTTGGTGTGGAACTGTAGAGGTCTGGGAGGGCCCTCTACAGTTTCCCAATTCAAGGAAACTCTAAGGTCCCACCTTCCTGATTTTGCATTTATGTCTGAAACTAAAAAAAAAAAGTTTATTATTACTGTTTGTAAGAAACTGAAAATGGAAGATAGGTGGTTCTATTTAGAGCCTGATACTTATAAAGGGGGGTTATTTTTGTACTAGTCCAAGAATATTAATATGATTTCTGTTTCTGGCCATCAGTTTTTTATTGAAGTCTGTTATACTCTTAAAAATGATCCTGATATCTTTTGGGGAGCTTTTGTATATGCTAGTACTGATGTTAAAATTAGGGAGGTCCAGTGGATGTCTTTACTGAATCATAAAGTCTTGTGGGGTCAAAAATGGTTTGTGGGGGGTGACTTTAATGATATTTTGTCTAATGATGAAAAGAATGGTGGCCTTTTGAGAAGTGAAGAAAATTTTCAATCCTTTAAGCTTTTTGTTAAAAATATTGAAATGGTGGATGTCCCTTTTAAAGGGCATCCTTTTACATGGGCTAATAATAGAAGAGGTTGTGATTTTGTAGAGGAGAGACTTGATAGATTTTTTATCTCTTCAGAATGGGCTATGCATTTTTCTAGAACTGAGGTTTTGCACATTCCTCTCATGTCATCTGATCACTTTCTCCTTATATTGGACACTCACTGTGATGCTGAGAAAAAGAAAAAAAGGTTCTACTTTGACTCCAGGTGCACAAAGCATGAAGATTTTAAGTAGTTGATTGAACAATCTTGGAACTTGGGTTCATTTGGATCAGATTTATACAGCATTCAAGCAAGAATTAAGAATGTCAGAATAGCCATCCTCAAATGGAAGCAGGCAAAGGAACTTAACTCTGAGAAAAAGATTAGTGGTTTGAAGCAGAAACTGAAAAATCTTGTGGAGCAGGGTAAGGACAGAGACTGGAAGCAGTGGGATGCAGTGAGACAACAGCTGCATTCAACATATAACTAGGAGGAATCTTACTGGGCTCAGAAAGCAAGGAAACAATAGCTGCAAGAAGGTGACTAAAACATAAGCTATTTTCAAGCATGTGTTAAACAGAGAAGAAGAATCAACAGTGTAGAAGGAATTATGAACAGGAATGGACAAAGATGTACCTCAAATAAGGAAGTAATAGATGAGATTCAGAGGTATTTTGCCTCACTCTTTCAGACCTCTAATCCATCTATTGACTGGTACAATTTAGAAGGTATTCCCAGCTCCATTGATGAGGATATGAACAAGCAACTTACTAAGAATGTGACTCTTGAAGAGACCAAAGCTGCTCTAGATGAGATGCATCCAAATAAAGTCCTCAGAATAGATGGTATGTCTCCTCGCTTTTTTCAGTTCTCTTGGGATATTGTCAAAACTTCTCTCTTCTCAGCAATTGAAAATTTCTTTCAAACCAGAAAAATGCCCCAAAACACCAATCATACCGTTATCACACTAATCCCTAAAAAAAATAATCCACAGTCTGTAGTTGAATTTTGTCCTATTAGTCTTTGTATAGTAATCTATAGACTTGTTTAAAAAATTCTGGCTAATAGGATCAAGAAAGTTTTGTATTGTTGTATTAGTCAAAATCAAACTGCTTTTATCTTGGGTAGGCAACTATTAGATAATTTTATTATTGCTAATGAATGTGTTCATTACCTTAACAGTAAAAGATCAGGCAAGGATTGCTATATGGCCCTCAAACTAGACATGGCAAAAGCCTTTGACAGAGTTGAGTGGCCTTTTTTGGCAGCTATCCTAAAAAAAATGGGTTTTTCAGATATTTTCATTTCCTGGGTTATGGTTTGTGTCTGCTCCTCCTCTTTTTCCTTTAATGTTTCAGGCTAGCCTATGGGTTATCTGCTTCCCTCAAGAGGAATTAGGCAAGGAGATCCCCTTTTCCCTACCTCTTCATCATTGTCTCCGAAGCTTTTTCTAATCTGTTAAAGCAAGCTACTGCTTTTCACTATATACATGGAATTAAAATTAGTAAGAATTCTCCTGTAATTTCTCATCTCTTTTTTGCGGATGATTCTATAATTTTTTGTAAAGCTGATCGTGTCCATGCCTCTCTCATCTCTAATATTTTGCTCTTACATGGTTTAGATTCAGGCCAGATGGTCAATTTTGATAAATCCTCTGTCATTTTCTCTAAGAATACCCCCCAAGCTGTGAAGAAGAACATCTGTTCCATTCTACCTGGAATTTCAATTGTTAAATCCACAAGGTACTTTAGTTTGCCTTTAGGTTTAGGTAGAACAAAAAAAGAAACATTCAGCTGTGTATTAAAAAATGTGTTAAGCAAAATAGAGAGTTGGAAAAATAATTTTCTTAGTGAGGCTGGAAAGGAAACTTTGATAAAACCAGTGTTAGGGGCTTTACTAACTTTTGTGATGTCATGTTTCAAACTGCCTTTGAAGATTTGTCAAGATATTTGCAGGGCAACTGCAGCTTCTTACTGGGGTGATACTGAAGTTGGTCATAAGAGGATACATTGGGCCTTCTGTGACAAACTTGCTAAACCCAAAGAACAAGGAGGACTAGGGTTTAAATGCCTGGTGTCATTCAATGAGGCTCTCCTGTCAAAGCAATTTGGAGGGTCAAAACTCAACCAAATCTGTTGGTTTCTAAAGTGCTAAAAGGAAAGTATTTTCCTACAGGAGATCTTATGGGTGCTGTCCATAAATCCTCTGACTCTTGGATTTGGAGTTCATGGCTTAGAATCAGACCTGTTTTGAAGAAATGGGCTCTATTTCAGATAGGAAATGGGAGGAATATTTCAATCTGGAATGACCCATGGATTCTTGATTTTCCCAGCCACAAGCCTTCCTGAGTTTTGAAAGGGACAGGGAGAAAGTAGTCAAGGTGTGTGACCTTTTCCTCTCTGATGGTTCTGGTTGGAACAAGACACTCATTGAACAATTTTTCTCATCTGAGGAAGCTTCAACCATTCTCAAAATTCCACTCATCAGATTACAACAAATGGATAAATTGTGTTGGACTCTTCATAAAAATGGCACTTTCTCAGTGAAGTCAGCATATAAACATATCATTGCCACTAAATGCCTGAAAACTCTTCCCCCAGAGTCCAGCACAACTTCAGGCTCACTTGCAAAAAAGTGGAAAAAAACATGGAGGCTCAAGGTCAAGAATAAAATAAAAAATTTTATTTGGAGATGTTGGTTCGGTTATCTTAGCACCTCAAATCATTTATTGAAAAGGGCTATTCTTGTGGATCCAATATGTCATATGTGTGGAGAAATGGAGAAAAATTTGCTGCACCTATTCTTTTCATGTTCTAAAGCAGGTCTGGTTTGGAAATTAGTAGGTATTGAGTGGTGTGGGCCCAAAGGCACTCCCTTTTCCTTCTAGGAATGGTGGGTGGATATTTGTCAACTCTCCTCTGGTGAAGTGCATGAAGATAGAATCCACTTATCCACATATATTTTGTGGTGGTTGTGGAAAACTCGTAATGCTTGGGTTTTGAATAAGGATTGGAAAACAGAAATTGAAGTGGTCAGAGGAGCACGGCTGGAATGGATAGAATATGAAGCTGCAAATGCTAAGCCTTTGTCTCTTGGAGCACCTCAGTTTCTTGTATAACTATCTCTTTTGCTACTCGATATATAGTACATAGTCTTGCTCTTTTGCTCCTTGCCTGTGTATCTGGTCTGTCTAAAGTCAGTAGGCTATGTGCTAGCAGTGCTGTTTAGTAGGCCATTTTGTATATCTGTGTTGATTTCTCTTAGCCCTGGTATATCTTGTTTATATTGTTCTCCCCTAGGTTGCTAGCTTTTGTTTTGCTTTGTTTTAATTTTGTATGTAGGGCTGTTGCCCATTGTATTACTCATCTGCAGATGGTAGATGAGGTGACATTATCTCCTTTATGGAGCCCCTTTGTATCATTTCTTTGAGTTTTATAATATTGAATCGTTTCTGAG